TGGAATATCTTTCAAAAAGATCAGCATGATGATCCTCGAAAAAAGTGAAATCACCAGGTGGGGGCAGATATACAACACCAAACAAAACCTTAGAATCACCAGCTAAGAGCTCAACAAAAATGGACTCACATTTGCCTAAGACAGATGATTTGAATACAATTTTAAACTTCACACCACTCAAAATATATATAGCAACACCTCCACCTCGAGCATTAATGCGATCATTCCTTACTAGTCTATATCCAGGAATATCAACCATTCTATTAGAGATATCAGACTTAAACCACGTCTCAGAGAGTGCAAGAACATGTAAGGAAGAACCAAATAAAATCGATCTCAACTCACAAAATTTAATTGAGCTGTTAGATGGCCTTAAACTTCGGCAGTTTAAATGCGCAATGTTAAAATTATCATGACATGAGCCAAGTATCGAATTTATGTACACGTTGTTGCTAATCGCTGGTCCACAATTTGCACTAAGAGACATTAAACGAAAAATAATTGATATAGCGGGGAACCAAATATATATAAAATGTTAAAAACCTTTTCCTTATTATTTCAAAATTCATTACAAAATATCACATATTTAAGACAGCTGATCGAATTTTCAAATGAGATCAGTAATTAAAAATTTCAGTTACAAAAAATAAAAAGCAATTATAATATTTATAAGAAATCACAAAAAAAAAAATAAAAAAGATCAAATATTTACGCCTTCAGCATCACACAGCAATTCATCACACTGACTTGAGTTATAAGTGACTTCTCTGCCGTCATCAAACTTAAGCCATGCCTTCAATACGTCTGAATTCAAAATTTTGAATCTGTTTATCACCTTCAAACGACGAAGTTTCTTGCATACGAAGTTCAGATGCGCTGCCGCAGGAGAGAAATGATCGTTCAGATAGACACGACTAGTTAAACCAATTCCTAAGTCACCCAGCAAATCAGAAACTTTAAGATTACGAGTTTTGAAATACTCTTTCATAAGCAGATCACGTTTTGACACCTTATTGAACTTCACCAAAATTTGCTTTTTGCGGTTGATATAACATACGTGGTTTATATCCATGCTGGTGAGTGGAACGTTGTAAACAGAGCCCAAAGCAATCACAGGAGCTTCCAGATCATTCAGTCCGTCTGGCAACCCTCCTATAAGAATGTCAGAACGATTCATCCTTTTGTGCATCACATTATCTTCTTTTTCCAGAGCTACAAATCGAGCAGAAGTAGTTGTTTCAACACGACGAACATTGTCACCACATTTCTTTATATCAGCCCTCATTTCAGCAACACATGAACTGACTTCCTTTTTTATGTCGTCGAGAACCATTGTAAGTCGATTCTGTTCAGTTTGATAGTTCGACATAAAATCATCCAATTTGGCAGTTAAGCTATTTATCTTTTCAACAACATCATCATTACAGGCTTTGTTGTTGAGATTGGGCTCACAAGCAGGACATATATAAGCAAATGCCTTCACAGTCCTCAAAACACATAAATTTTTCTCCTCTATATTCGCACAAGAGGCATGAATCCAGCTGTTGCAAGCTTTGCATAAGACACTAGTCTGTGTTTTGGTTACAGACTGGTTGCATATTGTGCACTTTGTAACTTTAGAAACCGGCATATTTAAATCAGTAACGTAGCAAACAGCAACAAAATTATTAAAAAATGTCGGCAGGCAATAGAAAAAGATATTAGGGTCATCCTTCAAAGAACTAACAACAATGTTCTGTTTACAATATGTTTTACACTTATCAAGCCTTGTTTTTGTAGGGCTTATCCAAATAGTAAATATATTAGATGATTATGTGTGAATGTTTTGTAGAAATGGGTAATAAATAAATTTAAGGGGACCTCCCCCATTTTCGATTTTAAATTTTTAAGATTTTCATTGGGCTGGTAAATGAATACCAATGCATGTTAAGGTTTATAACCGTTCACATATATAATTGAAAATTTAAGGGGACCCCCCCCATTCTCGGTGTCAAAATTTTTTTTGATTTAATTCGAATCTACTCTAATTCTAGAATGTTCCTACAAAATTTCAAGTGAAAATCTCAAGAACTCTTGAAGATATAGCCGATTTATTGTGTCAGCATCAAGTGACGGCTAAAGGGCTTCTCAAACTTTAAACGCGTTTTTCTCAAAACGAATGGCGGGCACGATAACTCAAAAACTAATAATCCAATCGGTTTCAAATTTTGACACGTTTCTCTGGGAGTGTGTAGCTCTCGTATGAACTAGGATAAAGCCAATCGGTGAAGATCTTCCTTATTTTTTAACTTAGTTTGTGGTAAAAAATAGGCGATTTTCCATAAAAAAATTTTCAAAGTTCCGCCATTTTGTTAATTGTTGTGCGAAGTCAATAATCCTAGTTCATACGAGAGCCAGACATGTCCCCTTTCTAACACAGTTGGAATTTTCGGATTCCGATGTTCCAGTGAGGAGTTATCATGCCCGCCATCGAAAATATGGACTTTTCTTTGAACCCAAAAAACAACAACAAAACAACAACAACAAATTTTGGTAAATTATTTTTCTTCCTTTTTAAATCTTCAAATATATATGTGCCAAGTTACAAACCTTAACAAGCATTGGTATTCATTTACCAGCCCATTTAAAATCTTAAAAATAAAAAATCGAGAATGGGGGGGGGGGGGGTTCCCTTAAAGGAGAAGAAAACTAATTTTCAAATTTGTTATTGTTGTTGTAGCAGCTTGCACTGTTCTGAGTCCAAAGAGAAGATGGGCTTAGGTGAGTGGGTTTGGCTGGGCAGCTGAATAGGTGTAGCGTGTCATGTGGTCCATTACCACATGCCGGGCAGATATTATCGACCTCTTCATGAGTTCGTGCCCAATATGAATTGGGCGGCTACATCACCACTCTGATTGTCTCTGGTTTATCGAGGTAGCTGCTGCTCTTCTGCACTTATCGTAGGCGGGTGATCTCCGATGATTGTATTCACACGATATTCTCAAATTGCTTCCTCAACTGCATCCGTGTGAATGCGGTTCAATCCTGCTTGATGGCCTGTTGATGTAGAGGCTCCGAAAACCCATACCCTAAAATATTCTTAAAAATCCGTATACACATTATTCCATATAAAAATAACCATTCATCCTCCAACAATTTAAATGTAAATGCATATTTCCGATTCTTATATACCCCACTTAAAATTCTGATTACTTAGTCCATGGAAAAATTCATAAAATCTATCAAAAGAATATCTTCAAATCAATATTTTATGTTTAGTTTAATTATTAAATAATTTAATCATTCTAACCTCAATGTTTCTACTGAAAAGAATATTTAAAGACTATTTTCCGAGTCGTGTGCCAAAAACGAGTTTTCTTTTATTTTCCATCCGTCCTTGTCTTGCAAATCTTTTGTGTACAGCAATACCATTACAATTACGAAAAAGACCTCCAAAAATGTGAAGACTTACAAATTCACTTTGAGCCAATGAAAAAAAAAAAAAAAATAAATGCATACCGCAATGCGAATGAAAACTACAAATTCCCTAAGGTTGTATTTCTCCTCCAACCTAACTGACCTAATGATCCATTTACACCAACTACAAAAACTGTTGTTATGGAAAATTTTCGAGAAAGTTTTTTTTTTGTTCTCCCAACATGTCGATTAATTTTGAAATATGCGGTTGACAGTGTATATTTAATGATATCGTCCTTGTATTTGGTTATTGTTGTTGTTCCTTAAGTTGTCTCTCTGACTAAGTTATTGCGTCTTATGTTTTTGTATAAAGACCTAACCTTGACCCATGTCTTAACTTTCTGTTTGCTGTTGTTATTATTGTTGTTGTTGTTGAGTGTCATTAAGTTTCCTGTGATAAATTGATTTTTATGACAGTTGTCGTCGTTACCATCACTGGGTTGGGTAGATGATAGGAATAAATGGTTTTGGTGGGGTACGGCACCTTTTTAACCTTCCTTAAGTAAATAAGTTGTTTTTTTCGCTTTCCTTATTTCATTTTTTGTAATGGTCATGCGGATATTTCCAGCACTCGTAAAGAGATGTTTGCTTTTGTCGTTTTTTAACTTAAGAATTTTGTGGTTTTCCATGGAAAATCTTTGGAATCAACTTGATTGCTTTACAAAATAAATTTACTTTAAGGGAACCCCACCCATTCTCGATTTTAATTTTTCAAGATTTTCAATGGGCTCGTAAATCAATACCAATGCTTGTTAAGGTTTGTAACTTTGCACATATATATTTGAAGATTTCAAACAGAAGAAAAATAGTTTACAAAAAATTTTTGTTATTGCTTTGTTGTTGTTTTTTGTAATTAAAGAAAAGTCCCTATTTTTGATGGCGGGCATGATAACTCCTCACTGGAACATCGGAATCCGAAAATTTCAACGGTGTTAGAAAGAGTACATGTCTGGCTCTCGTATGAACTAGGATTATTGACTTCGCTCTAAAACTAACAAAATGGCAGAGCTTTGAAAAAATATTTTTGGAAAATCGCCGATTTTTGACCAAAAACCAAGTTAAAAAATAACGAAGATCTTCACCGATTGGCTTTATCCTAGTTCATACGATAGCTATACACTCACAGAGAAACGTGTAAAAATTTGAAATCGATTGGGTTATTAGTTTTTGAGTTATCGTGCCCGCCATTCGCAAAAGAGAAAAACGCGTTTAAAGTTTGAGAAGCCCTTTAGTCGTCACTTGATGCTGACACAATAAATCGGCTATATCTTCAATAGTTCTTGAGATTTTCACTTGAAAATTTGTAGAGACATTCTTGAATTAGTGTAGAATCGAATTAAATCAAAAACAATTTTGACCCCGAGAATGGGGGGGTCCCCTTAAATAGACTATAAAGTCGTTGCAATATTTTTCCCAGAATTGAGAATGTAAAAAATAACTTTGATACCAGTGATTATTTTTAGAAAACAAATTGTTTATTTTCCTTTTCAAATAGTTTTTATTGTTAAAATTAATTATTATTTTTTTTTTATATTTTTTTTCAGGCCCATTACCAAAGACATCCCAAGATTTCTGGCGTATGATCTGGGAACAACATTGTTTAGTTATAGTTATGACAACACGTGTTATGGAACGTGGACGCGTTAAATGCGGTCAATATTGGGAACCAGCCGAAAATAGTTCCTTAGAATTTGGAAATTTCCATGTGCGAACACTTAGTATAGAAACTAATGAAGATTATACAGTAGCCTCATTAGAATTGAGAAATACAAAGGTATGTTTGATAAATAACCAAATTATTGTCTAAATCCATACTAAGTAACCGTGTTTTTCTTTTGCAGACTGATGAAGTGAGAAATGTATCACATTGGCAATTTACCAGCTGGCCGGATTATGGTGTACCCAGTTCAGCTATGGCCATGATAACTTTCTTGCAAAAAGTTCGTGAGAAACAGGCTCAAATGGTACAATCATTAGGTGATACATGGGCCGGACATCCAAGAGGACCACCAATTGTGGTACACTGTAGTGCGGGTATAGGAAGAACAGGTAAGTTTCAACAATAATAAAATACGCATACATAGCACAAATTTTACATACTATATTTGATACACATATATTGGAAAACTTTAAAGACTCAGTGTAGAAAATGGGACTAGGACCTGGAGTATATCGAAAATTATTTATGACGGTTAAAAAAAAAATGCCAAAAATTCTCACAACACCGAAAATTGGGAATATCGTTGGGACTTTATCAGCCTGTTTTTGTAAAATTCTAAACGAACGAATTCGAGTGACTTACGACCAAACTCCTTGGTTTTGAAAAATATGTCATTTATTTTTGTTTTGAATCAAAAAATATTTGTTTACATAAACAAAGGTTTGGTCGTAAGTCACTCGAATTCGTTCGTTTAGAATTTTACAAAAACAGGCTGTATATCTGTCGAAATGAAAACCAGTAAGGAAAGTAGTAAGTCGGACTGGGCCGACTATATGATACCCTTCACCACATTGGGTATATTCTTCATATGTATCCGAAAAGACGTCGCCTTTTTTAAGGAATGAACCTATGCTGAATTTTATTTCATTTTGATAAGTGGGACAAATTTGTGCAAATCGATTTAAGGGGACCCCCCCCCCCCCCATTCTCGGGGTCAAAATTCGAATCTACACTGATTAAAGAATGTATCTGCAAAATTTCAAGTGAAAATCTCAAGAACTCTTGAAGATATGTCCGATTTATTGTGTCAGCATCAAGTGACGGCTGAAGGCTTCTCAAACTTGAAACGCGCTTTTCTCTAAACATTTTTTTGCGAATGGCGGGCACGATAACTCAAATACTAATAATCCAATCGGTTCCAAATTTTGCAACGTTTCTCTGGGAGTGTATAGCTCTCGTATGAACTAGGATAAAGCCAATCGGTGAAGATCTCCCTTATTTTTTAACTTGGTTTTTAGTAAAAAATCGGCGATTTTCCAAAAATATTTTTTCAAAGGTCCACCATTTTGTTAATTTTAGAGCGAAGTCAATAATCCTAGTTCATACGAGAGCCAGACATGTACTCTTTCTAACACCGTTGGAATTTTCGGATTCCGATCATCCAGTGAGGAGTTATCATGCCCGCCATCAAAAATAAGGATTTTTTTTAATTACAAAAAACAACAACAAAACAACAACAAAAATTTTTTGTAAATTATTTTTCTTCTTTTTTAAATCTTCAAATATATATATGCAAAGTTACAAACCTTAACAAGCATTGGTATTGATTTACCAGCCCATTGAAAACCTTGAAAAATTAAAATCGAGAATGGGTGGGGTTCCCTTAAAGCAAACTTGACACACGCTATTCGGTATGCTGCACTGTTTAAAATTTAATCTCAATCAGACACCAATTGATATATGGAAGCTACGATATATGTAAATCTGAACCGATTTCCAGCAAACCTGCCAGATATCAAGCTCTCGTATGAACTAGGATAAAGCCAATCGGTGAAGAACTTCCTTGGTAAAAAATAGCCGATTTTCCAAAAAAAAATTAAGTTCCGCCATTTTGTTAATTGTTGTGCGAAGTCAACAATCCTAGTTCATACGAGAGCCAGACATGTACTCTTTCTAACCCCGTTGGAATTTTCGGATTCCGATGTTCCAGTGAGGAGTTATCATGCCCGCCATCAAAAATGAGGACTTTTCTTTGATCACAAAAAACAACAACAAAACAACAAAAAATTTTTTTGTAAATTATTTTTCTTCTCTTTTACATATTCAAATATATATGTGCAAAGTTACAAACCTTAACTTCAGTACGTTGTGTCAATCGGCCTAGCTATGGATCTTTAGTGCACAATTTACTTAAAATCGGACAAAAATATATATAGGCCAAAATACGTGCAAATCGAATGATTTTCAGGCACTTTGGTCCATCATTTACCTAAAATCGGTCGAAGCTATATCTAAATCTGAACCGATTTTCACGAAACTTAGCACTTATGGAAGCTATATCTAAATCTGAACCGATTTTCACGAAACTTAGCACTTATGGAAGCTATATCTAAATCTGAACCGATTTTCACGAAACTTAGCACACATCATTTTTGACCTAATTTGGTAGGCTATACCAAATTTCGTGCAAATCGAAAGATATATAAGGACTTTGGTACACTATTTACCTTAAATCGGACGAAAATATATATGGGAGCTATATCTAAATCTGAACCGATTTTTCCCAATTTCAATAGGGTTCGTCCTTGGGCCAAATAAGGGAGCTGTGCCAAATTTCATCCAAATCGGATCATAAATGCGACCTGTACTTTGTTTACAATTTAACATCAACAGACGGACGGACATGCATAAATCGTCTCAGAAAGTGATTCTATGCATATTCTCAAAAGGAACCATGTGTCTATGCACAAAGACATAATACCCTGTACCACAGTGTGGTGAAGGGTATAATTACCGCAAATATTTTTCCCTTTACTAAAACATTCACCGATATATTCCATTTTCAATACCAAAAGACCAAAGCTCTATTTTGAATACTGAGCGCTTTATCGTAATTCCAACAGACGGTCCGAAAATATATATACTTTATAGGGTCTCCAATAAATATTTCGATGTGTTGCAACAGAATGACAAATTTAATATACACTTCATCATATTGACCTACAATGATATTCTTAGAAAACTATCCGAACATTTCCTAGGAGGCCTAAATACAAAAATTGATATGTGATCCTCCTAATGAAGGTTCACACTTTGCCCCGTAATTTTTTAAGGAATCCTTTTTTTACTACATTTATAACCAAGACCTTCCTCAAGATATATCTCTTAATGATTCTCTCATAATACTTCCTCGAGAGATTCGCTTCCAAAATTCATTCTTTGAGCAGTGATTATTCCACAAGAATTTCGCTTCAAAAATCCATATTTTAGACTATAATACCTCCCCAAGACATATGCATTAAAAACTCAACCCGCGATAATTCCTCAAGGAATATTTTTATATAATCCTCGCTTATACACGTGACTCTTTCTCAATAAAATATCTTTAATTTGTATACCTCCTTAAAAATCTGCTTTAAAAATTTACGCTTACTTCGAAATACTCTTCAGAAATGCCCACTTTGTGCCGGCATACTTCCTCAGATAACCTGCTTTAAAAATTTATCCATGAACCTAAAAATCTGAAGTAAGTTTTCTTCAATAATATTCTAAAAAACCTGCCCGAACACTTCTAGAAAGACCTTCATAAAATATTCTTTAAAGGCGAAAACTGCTGAAATTAGATATCAAGTCTGACTTGTAATACTGCTTATAAAAACTTAGGCTTTGACCCGTGATTCTTTCTCAAGAAATGGTTTTTAACCTCACCATTTGAGCCGAGATAATCCCTTAAGAAATATACTTTAAAAATCCACTATTTAAGCCATAATACATCCCCAAGAAATTCGCTTTCAAAAATACATTCTTTGAGCCGTGATAATTCGTCAAGAAATTCGCTTCCAAGATGCATCCTTTTAGCCGTGATAATTTCTCTAGAAATATTCTTTAAAAACTCCCGCTTTGAGTCGTAAAATTGCATCAATTAATATTGTGATTAATATATCTGACCATAAACTACTTCTTCAGAAATTTGCTTTCAATAATTCCTCAGGAAATTAGCTTCAATAATGCATCCTTTGAGCCGTGATACTTACTAAAGAAATCTGCTTAAAACCCACGATTCTAGCAGTAATTCTTCCTCAAAAAGTCTGTTTAAAAACACTTCTTCGGATGTGATACTTCATATGGAAAAATTCTTCAAAATATAACGTTTTGAGTAGGAATACTTTCTGAAGAAATGGTATTTCAAGCCCTGTACTTTTTATTTTCCGTTCTTATCCGAACAATATTTTTTAATATATTAAACTTTAGTATTTACGGGTTGTTCTCTTATTTTTCCTTTTAATTTAATTTCAAATCTTCAATTTCAAGTTTTAATACCCTGAACCATCATCTACTAATCTAACAACTAACTAATTCTATTTTCTTCTATTTCATTTCAGGTACATTTATAACATTGGACATTTGCATATCTCGCCTGGAAGATGTTGGTACGGCTGATATTCGCGGAACGGTGGAAAAAATTCGTGCTCAACGTGCATATTCAATACAAATGCCCGATCAATATGTATTTTGTCATTTAGCACTAATTGAATATGCGATCTCAAGAGGTATGCTGAAGGCTGTCGATTTAACGGGATTCGATGATAGAGACGAGGATTCCGAGTAAAATGGGCGGCGAGCAACATCTACGATGCAACAACAACAACAAAAAATATTGTTATAACAAACAATAAACAAATATTTTAATTGATTGAAGCCAACACTACCAACAACCACCACCAATTCTCCAAAACAACAACAATAAAATATGTTTTTCTGACAAAAGCAAGAACAACTAAAACAAATCAATAACAATTTCTCTTAAGTAATGTTAGTTTCCAAATAACAGAACAAACAATCTTTTTGTAATAAAAAACAAACATATAAAAATAGTTTATAATTATTGCAACAACAACACATAAATAGTTTCAAAGAAAACTTTCCTAGAAATCAAATAGTCCATAATCATTGATAATATTCATGTGTTTTTTCTCTATTTGTTATTTATTAACATAACGGTTTTTTTGTATTATGATAACTGTAAACATTAGCTTTGGCCCGGACATATTCAAGGACAACTTTGTTAAACTCTCCTCTATGGCTTATTTATAATCTACCTGGGAGTTAGGTCGGTCTCTGTGTGTTTAGTCTATTTCTTTTTTGTTTTCATTCTCTGTTCTTGGTAGTAATGTCTCAATGAACAACTTCATCAATATATATAACAACAACAACACTCTATTGAACCAGATTTTTTAATGTAATTTGTGGATAGTAATTTATGTATGGGAAAATATTTAATAACACAACAAAAAGAACAACAACAAAATGCTGTTAAAAACAAAACCAATAAAAGTCGTCGCGTAGTTTTTTTTAGAAATCAGTGATTTGTAGATGGAAGAAAACAATAAAAACGAAAAGAAAAAACATAAACTAAACAAAAGAAAAGAAAAACAAAATTTATGTTAATTTTTATTTTATTTTTTGTTCTATTATTATTAATAATTATTATATTCTAATTCTAATTATTTAAAATTAAATAAAAACAAAACACATTTTTTATGTTCTCGTATTATAAACAAACAAATGATGAATATAAATGTTAATTATAACAAAAATAAAAACTAAATTTAACTTAAACATAATGATAACCTTTATATATATACATAAACGTAAATAAAACTAAATATAAATTTAATTATACATATATAAATATATATTTAAAATAATTCATAGTTAAATGAAATAAAAAAGGAAACATTTTAATTTAATACATAAATAAACAACAACAAAATACAAATCTGTAAATCTCCAGAAAAAAACTAAAACTAAATTTGTTTTTTATTTCATTTCTGTATTTGGTTTTGTAATTTTTTGAATATATTGGCCATTTTAAAAATCACGTTACACTTTACAAATACTTGGGAGATTGTAAAGCGAATCCTTAAACATTTTTAGGTGAACCTATATAGAACATTTGTTTCATGGGAGTCTTGACCTTTCACGTAGCTTTGCATAATGCAGCAATACTCAAGTACCCAAGATTTTTTTTTTTTTTTTTGATTAAATCGAAGCAGATACACTATATTTCATGGGATTATAGAGGATTAATCATCTTTTGTTTCCAACATGAAAGGTTAAGATAACTAACATCGGTTCATTATTAACATATTCGGTTGGGGAAAAAGAATTTTTTTATTGTGTAAATTGTTTAAAACGGTAATGGCCGATTTTTAGCTCCTGGGCGGTGTTACGATGGCTAACATATCGCTAAACTTCGATCATTTCTCCGATTTTATCGACATCTTCAACGACCAGCCTACCTGTGGGAGGTGCGTCTTTAACATCAAAAATTTCTGAACGGAATCTACGAAACCAAAATTGCACATAATTGGCTGTTACAGTATCGGAACCATAAACATCATTCACAATTTTAGCCACTTGCCTTGCATTTTCGGCTTTGTCAAAGAAAAACTGTAAAATATACCGAATTTTCTCTTTGTTCACTTCCATTTTTAACACCCTGTAACTCACAACTGAATGCACCAAACAAAAAAATATTTTTACAAGTAATCTATCAGTACAGCCATTAGCCGAAAAAATATGGGATTTCTTTTTCCCCAATCTAATATCTTGGATACTTGAAAAATGATGGTAAAAGAGAGGACTGGATAGGTCAGCGAAGATAAATAGTTTGGTAAAGCAGTGAATAATGATGGGACCTATTTCGGAGAAAAAGATTAAAAGTATCTATATCATATCTACCAAAAAGTAATAGATTTTATTAATTTTTATTTGTCTTATTTATCCTCACTGCAGTAATTCACGTCAATAATATCCCATTTGAAATTATGTTATGTTAAAGGGGTTGCTGGCAACTCTTCGTCAGGAAATTTGTTCTTGTTATTCTTGAGTTTGAACCTCCGCCTAATGGATAGTATTGTGATCTCGTTCTTCCTGAGAAATACTAATAAGTTAGATCAACGTTTCCAAATTACTGGTCAGATAGATTTTGAGATTCTACATTCAGTTTCCCCAAGACATGACAACCAAACGAGCATCAGCCGAAGATGGATTTATTTTGCGAGGAATAAAACCCCAAAACAAATCCATCTAGCCTCGAAATATTGGACTTAGATTCCATGTTTCATTCGACAAAATCCGTTTCAAACAATTTGGAGTCGATTTACAAGTGTTCCTTTCCTCGTCGCAATATTTCTTTCGAACTTAAAGTTGAAAGATTTGGAATATCAGTCCAATATTTCTTTCGAATCAGCAATATTTCTTTCGAACTTAATTGAAGTTGAAAGATTTGGAATATCAATCCACTCCTCCCTACACCTCCCATACAAAATGGTAAAAATTTAAATTTCCGATTAAAACAAATTTTGCACAACCTAACATCCTTACCAAGTCTGTATAATCTTGGAAAAAGGGTCTTATCGGCTCATTCCTTCTAGCACCTCCCGCTCAAAGAGTCAACGTTTTCAATTTTTATAAATCCAATAATTTGCGAATGGAATCTCCGATATGATAGTTTTACCCATCCAACCCAACGGTCCAATCCTTCGGATTTGACCCAAACTCTGCACATCGTCTCATTTTTACCAACTCCTTCTAGTACCTCCCGGACAAAGGGTCAACGTTTTCAATTGTTATAAATCCGCACATCGTAATGTTTTTTTTGCCAATCTTAGATTAAGTCCGAAGAAGGGGCCACTCCTTCGGGTACCTCTTCCACAAAGTGTCAAAATGTTCAGTTTTTATAAATCCCATATTTAGCGAATGGAATGTGCTCCGATTTGACCCAAACCCTGCACATCGTCTCCTTTTTACCAACTCTAAATCATGTTCGAAGATGGGGTCCATCGCTCAATCTTAAATGAAGTTCGAAAATGAGATGCATCGGTGCACTCCTTCTGTTACCTCCAAATTTTATAATATCATACACGCGGACTAAGCGATTTGAACTAAACATTTCACAACCTAATATCTTCAAAAATGCTGTACATAGTTGGAAAATGGGACTTATCGGCGTATTCCTTATAACACCTCCCTCACAAAGGGTGAACATTTTGAAAACTTCTAAATGTCATATGAAGCGAACGGAATATCCACTATCATTGAAACTTTGCACATCGTAATATGTTTATCGTTTATAGATCAAGTTCGAAGGTCCTCGCCATCTGGTACCTCCACCACAAAGGATAAATATTAGTGTATCCCATAAGTTTCTTCCGCGCCACTCTATGAATGAGTCTGACTGGCCATGCTTATATAAAAATGCAGGTTTATCTCTTAGCCGTTTATGACATCGGTTTAAGTGGTCCCAGAGCTCTTTCAAAGTACGTTCCGTTGGTGACAAAGATCAAGTTCGAAGGTGGGACCCGTTGGTCCTCGCCATCTGGTACCTCCACCACAAAGGATAAATATTAGTGTATCCCATAAGTTTCTTCCGCGCCACTCTATGAATGAGTCTGACTGGCCATGCTTATATAAAAATGCAGGTTTATCTCTTAGCCGTTTATGGCATCGGTTTAAGTGGTCCCAGAGCTCTTTCAAAGTACGTTCCGTTGGTGACAAAGCCTATTTTGTAAAAATTTGTCTGCCACGTTCAATATGGAGAACCAAAAGAAGCATTTACGGTATGTTATGCTTCATTGCTTTAAAAAAGGCAATAGTGCAAAGGACACTGCAGACGAGATTTGCACCGTTTACGGTAGTGATACTACAACCCTTAGGGCCGTCCGCAATTGGTTTTAAAAATTTAGATGCGAATTGAATAATCTATTTATTTCATTCTTCGCGCATCGCAATATTTTACCAAACCTACATTTAATCCGAAGATGAGCATCCTCGTCAGGTACCTCTACCAGACTGTTTTATAAAAACGAATAATAAAACCTGTTTTCTAGACCTCGGCAAACCATAGGCTGAGGTTATATATCTGTCGAAAACACTTAGTCACATTTCTTTAATTGTTTTAAGTCAAATTTGCATCGCATGACATGACAAGGAAAAAACCTCCAACTTTTTGAGACAGTTTTCTCCATTTTTGTTTGACGACGACAGCGTTCGCTCGCAAATTCACCGAAAAAGTTGATGTCGTCATTTATGCAAAATAGTATTTCTTTTCATGATAAACTCAATGGCTTCTCAGGAAGTAAAGGGCTTCCGGTGGGGTTTTTGGTTTTATTTAGATTTAAATTCAAAATCCGTTCAAAGATTATGCATATTCAGTAGTGTTGGCGGTTGTTTGGGATACCATTTGTATTTTGTTTTTGCAAAATAGTCAGGCTTAATTCCAGTTTGTTGTTTTTATAAAAAAACAACTATTTATTAGTGGGAAATGTATGGCATTGTCCGCCGAGGGGTAAGGCAGGGAAGACTATAGTTTCGGATCTCGCCACTGATCCTCATCAGTTCCTTTAGTCTTTTTTTGGGATAATCTCCCCAGAAGCGATTTATTGCTTCTTTACAAAAAAAAACCTTTCATATCCAAATGTCTCTTGTGACAATTCGAAGTTCTTACGTTACCAGCAATACGATCCCAATGATTACGAATATATTTTATTTTGATCTTTTTGTATAATCCCCTAAGCAATGGCAAAATTTAACAAATTGTTATATTTCAACATTTCAAGGAATCTGTAATATTAAAATTTATTATTATTCATGATTTCGTTCATGCATAGAATGTGATTTCTTATAGAATTGAGTATGTTTCTCACTAACATATGTGTGTATATGGAAACCTATCTCATTATCATTTGTTTATAATTTAGCATATAATAACAGTGCGAAAGAAAAATAAATCAAAGAGAAACTCTGTGGTAATATGTACTTTTATAAAGAAAATGCAATATACATACATATATATAGAATACATGCAAAAAAGTAAGAAACAAATCTCCATATAATATCTAATACTTAAATAAACGTCTAGAATGAAAACGAAATTAAACAATATTTTCAAAATAAAATTGAATAGAAATAAAACAAAATAAAAAGAAGAAATAACAGAAAATACACATTGGAAAAAATTCAACTATTTTTGTAACGCTTGAAGTATATAGAAAATATATGATGAATCTATAGAAAACAAAATAATAGACAAAAGATATCAATTTGAAAACAAACAAAAAATATTTGTAATAATACTAATGCATTTAAGAAATGATAAAAACTAAACACACACTCTGTTTGCATTCACAGAAAAGGAAGCGATTAATAAATCGAAAACAAGAAACTATTCTATAATTGCATAAATATTGGACGGTTTCAGAATCCATTACTTTTTCAGCGTTTTTTCTTTTTTGGATAATCGAAAATCGTCCACTTTCCAAACTTTGCAGTTTTGATTTTTTAGTTATTCTATTTTTTCTCCAGCATTTAATTCCCAATACGATCGAACGATTTCAATATGACATTTGCACTTTGTTTACAATTTTGAAACGCTTCATTTTGTTTTCTAATAAAAATTTTTACATTTGAATAGCCAACATAATAAGAATGCAAACCAACTCGATTTTATATTCAATATAAATCAGTTAAAATGTAAAAAAATAAAATAAAATAAAAAAAACTCATTTACAAAATCAATTACTAGACGAAAATAGAGAACAGATTTTTATTGACATAGTACAATGTGAATCTTAAATATGCTGATCATCCAACTAATATTAACTAAATAGAAAGTTGAAAATAGGTGAATTTTATTGTGATAGATTTGAAAATTATTGAAGTCCATACATTGGGTAGAACACACACAATTGACAAGATGGTCAATTGTTTTCTGACTTGTGGTTCTTGACGAACTTTGAATCCCAATTACCGAAACGGGTACTCCTTCGTTGAATCATCTATGGAACGTTCATACAATTAACCCATATATGGGTCCTGAACGATTTTGGGTATTTTGCACCATTCGGTCCAAAGAAGGCAACGACGTTTTTACTTCTATCTTCTAGCGGTCTGCTCTAGAAGTAACTCTTTAAGAAGATAACAGACGTAAAAAAAAATATGAATTATTATGTCTGGGTTTATACAAGCAACTTTTTTAAGCAGCTATGATGAGTCCTTAGAAGTGAGAGGTATAAAAAGTGACAAGGGCGTAGACATTCAAAAGAGAATCGAAGAGAGCAACAGCAGAGTTGCTTAAAAAAGTTGCACGTATAAACCCGACTATATGTTCTATTTTTTTACTGGCCACAAATTCTTTTAACCCAATTGATAACTTGGAAATCTATCACAAAATCATTCCCTGTTTTACCAATCTTTGCCGTTAAAACCAAACAAACCAAAACACATGCAAAAAATAAATATAAGAGTTTTTATAGATAAAGTTGTTATTGAGAAACTATATAAAAATACCTTTCCAATACAGTCTGTCAGTACTTCTTCTTTGCCATAAACCCATAAACGTACATATGCATATACAAAATACATAGAAAGAAAAACAAAAACCTGTCCATTAACTCCAGCCCAACGTTAAATAATTTTTTTAATGAAATAGTAAAAATATATAAAAAATGTATAACGTAAATTAAAAAAATGGAACATAAACAAGGTTTATATAAATTATTGTAAATTAAAAAAGAAAAAACCAAAAATACTAATAATTTTTCCTAATAAACCAACAACAAAAATTCGACGAATAAGAAAGACATTACTTCGAAAATAAAAAAGAACCTAAAATATCGAAAATAAATATGCAGAAAATATTTAAAAAGAATGTGTTTTAATTTTGGATAGTGGTCAGATTCAAACAATATTGATTTCCTAGGTTCAAATAAAAAAACTATGCCGTTTTATTATCTTGAAGTATATCGATTTTTGTTTATTTAATTTTTAAAAAATTAGCTTATAAATAATTAAGTATAATTTTCTGAAACAATGAATAATGTGAATAGCATAATGTGAAATGCATCAAATCGTTCGTGATGATTTTTATATGAGTAAAACTTATCATCAAGAAAATGATGCATTTTCTTTTGTGTGTGTGTGTGCTTTTAGTCGTTTTAATTAGATTAAAATGGACCTTGTGGGAATGGGAAAGTAAATGTGAACTAAACCGGGCTTCGATATTTTCTTTCCTAATAATTTTATCGTGTTACAAAACAAATTAGCGAGGAAACCAAAACTTAAGGTAACTTGAAGTCAAAACAAAATTAACACTTCTGCATCTCTTTCTTTAAATAATAACAAAAGTTTACAATTTGTTCCTTTTAACGACCCAAGAAATTCCTTGACCAATTTTTAACGATTGGCTTCGATTTGGCCTGTTCCATACGTTCACGTTCTTGCATTTGTTCCATTAGTTTTTGTTGATTTTCACGGAATTTCATAATGGGATCATCGAATTGACGATAATAGTGTAAAACATCACGAACATCTTCAACTTCAGTTGTGGCAATGGCTGCAAGAAAGTAAATTTATATATGAACAAACTGGAGTTTTCTAAATGGGAGAGAATTGGGTGCTTGTGTTTACTTACTCTTTAAGAAACTAATCAAATCAAATAATTGCGAATCATCGTCATTACCCATCCATCTGGCAATGTTAAATGTATTATCTGGATGCATTTTTGTGGAGTTGGGATCCCAGTCAACAACAATTACCTAAAACACAATATGTTAATGCAGAACAAGTAAAAACGTCGTTAAATTCGGCCGGTATCCCCATACCGATTTATGGGGGTACCGTTATATGAAGCTATTCAAAAAATGGACCACTAATGATAATGGACCACTACGCAATGAGAATAAAACTAATAAACTATAGTTCATTTGGTGTCAAATATCCCATAAATACCGAATAATGGGAGGTACGATTTTGTGGGCGGTTGTTGTAAAATGTTGAATAATATTGACAAGTTTTTGGTAGTAAGATGTGTCACCCAATGAAAACTCAATATACCAACATAAATTAATTGAAAAACGTGCCCATAATCCCCAAAATACCGTACCATTATGTGGGCTATTCTATAAAGTGAATCCATAATGATCATTTTTTAATTTGCTACCCAATGGAAAATCAAAGCACCAAATTAAAGTCAATTTCGTTGACAATATATATTGGAGCTACCCCAAAAAATGGGCCAATGTTTTCTACTAAATGTGAATTCCTAAAATTAAATTAGAAAAAATAATTTCGATAAACGTCTCCAAGCGCTTCAAAACACGGAGCAATGTGAGGTACCGTCATATCGAAACTCTGCAAATCTACTACTTGTTTTTGCCTTTTCAACTTACCTTTCTCAAATCACGATTTAAATTATCCAAATTCTTAACATGATGTCCATCAATGAAATGTGTAGCATCACGAACCAAACGATACATAATATAACCATTAGGATCCAATGCATCCAAAATGGGGAATACAGTCATACCCTGTTCGGCAGTGAAAACAACAATTTCAAAATGTTTTGCACATTCCTGTAGGAAGACATCAACACCAGGGCGTTTCTTAAACCGCCAACCAGTTTGATATGTCCAGTCGGGATGTACCAGGACATCTTTCATTTCTAAAACCAATGTATATGGTGGTTGGATATATGGAGGTTTTAACGGATCGGGTAATAGTTTTTCTCTTGATGGTTCCTGGATCATTTTCTGATAATAATGCATTGATTTCCACATACGCTTCAGGTATTGCTCAACAGCTGGCAGTTTAATGAATTCATCTTCAATGATATTACCATCAGCATCGACCTCGGGTTTGCCGAATTCATAAATAGACCAAACAAGCAATGCACCACCTGCACCAGCGAATACAGCAAAACTAAAATATAAATAATGGGGAGTTATTACGCAAGCTAAACAACTCCGGTATTCATTACCAAATCGGCATACTTACCCAACTTTCATACGTTTAAATGCCTTTTCGTTTTCCTTAGCCTCTTCTTCCTCTTTACGTTTACGTTCTTTCTCCGTTTCCTCATCAACATTGGCAGCAGTTTGTGGAAATAGTTTGGACAAAATTTCTGGACTTGCTGGCTTTTCTGGAAAAACCACGAAAGACGGCAATTAAGTCAAGATATTCTCCTAATTGTGAAATAGCTCCACTTACTTGATGCATCTGTGGTGTTGGTACGATTACATGCCAATATTGGCGCCGCATGGTTACGTACAACAATTGATTTGGCTGGAACAACCCCTAAGCTAAGGGCACGTTTCTGCAGTGGTGTTCCAAACAAATTGTGAGCATACGCTGGCTTTGCAGCGCTGCTCAGCGAACATTTTAACAATCGTCCTAGGACACTTTGAGCCATAACACCATCAACTATTTGGAATTTTCAATGAAAATTCGTAAATTTATGTCAGACAACGAAGTGCAAAACCAAACCGGTGATAGTAATTTCTGGTTAGAATTTCATCTACCATATGATTTTGACAAATGCTGCCAATAAATTTGCAAATGACATTTAGGGCGATTAGTGACGACACGTAACGTAGATTGCGGTCAATAATAATATTTAATTTTTATTATTTGATTTTTTTTTTAAATTTTTTTACATTTTCCATTTGTAAAGTAAAACCATGTACACATAATCAATAGGTTGGGGTAAGTCCAAATAAATAATGTATAATACACGCCTTAAAGTGCGTTTAGATTTACGAAATCCATTCGATCGCAAATGTCAATTTCATAGCGCGCATACGTCAAATATAACCCACTGGATTTATGAACAAGATTGACGTATGAAATCGAGTGGATTTAGCAGTGTAGGAAATTAATATACATGACATCAAAAAATAAAAATTTTCACATATTTTACAGTAAAAAATATGTAATGTAAAATAAAAAAAAGTTATAAACATGTGGTCTGTTCCCGTAAAATCTCGGTTTGAAATGGCGTCCCAGTCGCAAAACTGACAGATCGTAATGGAAAATTGAAGGTAATAATTGTTTTATTGTGTAACTGTCAATTACCATCATGGTATAATAATATAAGGTAACAGCATGTGTTGTTGTACAACAACCTCATGGAAAATTGTTGTTAAGCGCAGCTGATGTCTCGAATAACTGTCAATGTGGGTAATTTCAACTTGAATTCGATGTGTAGTGTTGCCAATCATGTGAAATATTATAAGGAAACAAAAAAAAACCTTTTTTTGTCTCGACCATGGCACAATGAATAGGTAGTCCATTTAGCGCAGCCGACCATCTGTCAAATGTTTCCTTATAATAGGTTCGTTCGTTTACTCAATAATTTGTACGAATTTGTACAAATTATTACAAAATGTTGTTCGTTTACCCAAAATTCCAGTAAAAGAGAGTGAATTGAGAGAGCAGATTTGACAGTTGTGTTACTGAGTATTTGCAAATTCTTACAAGGAAAATTTACTCAGTAAGAATTTTCTTGTACCATCAGCTGATATTTAATCAGCTGTTTTGTTATGTTTTGTAAACAAACAAACATTTTTCTTAAGAAAATTGATTGTTTTGTGAATTTTATTTTGATTTTGTATCATTAAATACCAAAATGGATGAAGAAAATGCAAGTATTTTAAAAAAGGAAATACAAGTGTAATTGGCGAACGATTTTTTAGGTTCCAAATCCAAACAAAAAAGTGTGCATCCCTAACATGTCTGGAACACCATCGGTTATGTCCACCCCAATATCAATTGCAGATACAGGCATAACAGGTCACAACCCTTTTAAATGTTTGTGGGGAACAAACAACATCAATTTTCCGCCTGTTATCCATTTTTCTAATAAAAATGCTGTTTTTTAGTTTGCGCCAATTTGTTTGTTGTTTTAATCAGCTGTGTCGAAACAATCTTTTTACTGGATGTTGTTCGTTTACTTTTTGCAGTTTTCTCTCTTGGAAAGGAAAAATTCGTATTTACTCTCTGCAAATTCTTACTGAGTAAATATTACTGGGAAAGTAAACGAACGAACCTAATATTTAACATGGTTGGCAATATTCAAGTAGAAATTACTGACTTTGACAGTTAATCAAGACATCAGCTGCTCTAAATGGACTACCTATTCATTGTGTCATGACGAAAACAAAGGTTTTTGATTTGATACATCACCTTATAATTGCATCATGGACCTAACCTCATTCGTAAACAATTCGGTTATTCATCCCACCTCATTCGTAAATTTTCGCTATATCACTTTGACTTCTTCTTTATCGGTCATTTTGTCTTCTCGTGGAACGTTTTTCATTTTTTCTTCAGTCGGCGTGTTAAATTCTCAATTGCTGCCATCGGACCATTGTTTACAAGAAATATTGTGAATTATATTTTTTTGGTTCAAAATTGTAAAATGACCGCGGAAGATCAAAATTTAGCCGTTGTAATTTGTCGTGCTTGTTTAACCGATTGTAATGACTATAAACCACTGTACAGGGAGGGTATTATTTTTGGAGATATTACCACATTGTCTACATTGCTTAGCTTTTGTGCTGGCTTGGAATTTAATGAAGACGAAAATTTGGGACTGCCTGATTCACTGTGCTCTCAATGTGTAAAAGATTTAGCAATTTCCTACCTTTTTAAGAAGAAAGTCTTGGAATCGAATGAGTTGTTAAGATCTCAACTAATCGACGATGATGAAGTGGAAGAACCCAAAGCACCTAGCCAAGAAATTGTTAAGCAACAGAAGGCAGAAGAGGAGGAAAAAGCTTGCATGCAAAATGCCAGCAATGATCACGAACAACAACAACAACAAAAAGAAGAAGGACAAACAACTGGAAGTTGTGAGTCGGAAACCGATCTCAAGGAATTGGCAGAAGCGGCACAAATGAAAAGAGAGTTGGAAGCTCAACTGTACGAAACAACGGAAGAAGAATACACGGTGATACGTAATGAGGTTGACAATGAACAAATGGAACATGAAGAACCTATGGAAGAAGACGATGATATGTATGTTGTGCAGGAAGTGGCTGAAACAACCGAAATTTATCACACATCGGAAATCGAAGAAAGCCACGTAAATGATCCACAGCACCATCATCATCATGAGGTGGATACTGAAGAACACACCATTGTTGATATTGATGAGGAAACTGATGTTCAACAAGTCGACGAAGATGAAGAAGAAGTTGCATTTGAAATCCATGTATCGGATAATTTGGAAGAAGAATATCATGAAATTATTACATCTGATCCTGTGCCGACTAACACTGAAGATACTGTCAAACAAAATTATAGCATTAAAAGTGATTATGAACGCAAGCAGCCAATACATAATTATGAATCATCGGATAGTGGTCAACCGTCGACAGGAGTTAAGCGTATCAGAAATAGAACGAAATCATCGTCGAAAACACCAAATCCAGATTTTCAATGCAAGGTATGCTATCAAAAAGGAGAACAGTTAATTTTCAATTCAATGTAATTCGTAGGAATGATTTTAATGAATCGATACATGGACTTATAGCCGAGTGTGAAGAAGTGGTTTGAAAGGAAGCAAACATCAACTTCTACGATAATGGTAAAATAGGTTTCAGAAACTAAGACGAACCACGAGTTTGATCATACAAAGGCATATATAAACAGCATAATCTATTATGATTTTACATAACTAATATCAGTGTATATTTTACGAACTCCCTTTTTTATTTTTTCCTTTTCAGATTTGTGGCAAACAGCTGAGTAACGCCAGTTCGTTTAAATATCATATGCAATTACATTCGGACGATACTCCCTATGGCTGTGAGTTGTGTGGTGAAAGGTTTAAAACACGTAACGCCTATGATGGCCATCGGGCCACACATGATCCCAAAAACACCTGTGAACTATGTGGTAAGGTATATCGTCAACCTTCATCGCTACGACTGCATATGTTATCACATACGGGTGAAAAGCCATTTAAATGTGATATTTGCGGTAAATGTTTAACACAAAAGTCCGGGTACAAGAAGCACATGCTCACGCATACAGGTGAAAAGCCCTATTCCTGCGATATATGTGGTAAATCATTTCGGATATCAAGTAATATGTTAGTACATCGTCGTAGCCATTTGGGTGAGAAACCATTTGTCTGCACCGAATGTGATAAGACATTTGGCACAACGGAACAGCTGAAGCGGCATATGTTGGTGCATACAGAGGAGACACCATTTCCCTGCGATATTTGTGGTAAACAATTTAAACGTCAGTCAACATTGAAGGTGCACATATTGGGTCATACTAATTCGGAAAACGTTTAATAGTTTGTAATTCTGCAAATTATTGTTATGCTTGTATGTTTACTTAAAATAAGTACATATTTTTTAAATATATATCTATGTTTTTTTGTACCTATTTTGAATTTTAACTTGTTTCATGAAGATTTGAATTAAGAATTTAATATAATAATATATATAATAATATAGAGGTACGTAATTCCGTTATTTGCGGGAATGATAATGGCGACAGGTTTTATCATGCAGACCTAAGAAATAAATCAGACGACCCTGTTAACCTTGTTGGTTTATGGTTGCCAGTGTAGTCCAACAATATTATGACCCAATGAAAAAATCGAAAGTCTAATCGTAATGTCATCATCCAAAAATCATATCTTAGTACATCGTCGTCAATATATTCATTTCGGAATATACGTACATCCGATCCCAACCTCTGTGGCCAATATATTTTTTTCGAATTTGAGGCTGTACGGTTCGAAAATCATGTAAATTGGTTACGCAATCGAGGTATGATTTACGATTTTATGGTCAGAGTGTAATCTGGACACCTATTGTTTTCAACGAAATCGGACCGTGTTATCTCTCAAAGCAATGATTCCTATAAGGTGCAGCGTCGATTTATGACCAAGGGCATGAAGTAGCAACAGTGCGACTGGTTTATTGTCTTATGTGGCCAGACAGTCAAAAACCATTCATACCCATTATACTCGAGGAACTAAAATTAAAACTCGTTCCTACGACAGAGGGGTCTACGATCCGAAAGTCTTACTCGGTCAACGCCTGTCACCTCAGCCCATTGTGTAAAAACAATAGCAAACCAACAACAAAATTAAAAGTTTTTTACTTTTACAATATTTTTTTTTATATTTACACATAAGCGTAACAATGAATTAGCAATAAATTAATATAAAATCAAAATATAAAGAAGAGGTTACATGAAAGTAATAAGAAAAATCCTACATTGAAAGGTAAGGACATAAGTAATAATAGACATTAGCCAGACTACATAAATTACACGTGACAAAGAAAGTAAAGATAATGACTGTGGGTGGTATGGCAGTTTAGAAAATTTGTAGGTTAAGTCTATTTGCCGCATGTATTACAGCTGCCAGTTGAATCGCTGTAATATTTGGCAACGGGTTGCGTGCGGGATTGGCGGCAGGATACTAAGGCATCACCAGTGAAACCATGTGGGCACTTGCAAACAGCTAAATGTGATTTTGGTTCACAGATAGCACCGGAACCGCATTTGCCAATGCAGGGATTGACACATTGATAATTAATGCAGGCTTTGTTATCGGGACATTCGTTGTTGCTCAGACATTCACCCTGAAAAATACACAACAATGGAATTTAATATTTAATTCCTCCTCCCAAAAAAATATCGTCTAATTAAACATACCCTTGTACAATGGGTCAAAGGATTTCCAGTATAGCCAGGCAAGCAATTACAAACAGGACGTTCACGTCCAGTATTGTCATGACCAGGAATACAAATGGCATTGGTGCCGCATGGATTGGGCTCACAGAGATCAGCTAAACATAGAAATAAAAACAAAATTAACAAAACTCCAACAGCGTCTTCTTTCCACCACAACAACAACTTACCCTTGGTAAATGGACGACAACGAACAAAAGGATCACCAGTCATGTCACGTGGACAACTGCACACCGGAGTCAAACCTCTTAAATTACAGTCGGCACCAATACCGCAAGCGCCATCACATGTATTCTTGCAAATACCATAGAAACAAGCTGGCTTATTAGCTGGACAATCCGAATCACCATAACATTCGGGACGACATTCCGTATATGGACTACCAATATAACCCTTAGGACATTCACAGACAGCACGATGACCACTCACTGAACTGCAGGTGGCTCCAACACCACACTGGGTACAAGCGGGAACACACTTGAAGTTACTGCACATATCACGTGAACTACAATCACCATCATGATCACATTCATGACGACATCCGCTCAAGGGATTACCAATGTAACCATTCAAACAGGAGCAGGTGGGTACACCATTAACAATTTCACATTTTGTATTTTGACCACAGGGACTGGGATGGCATTGTTCCTCTAAAAATTGATTGCAGAAGAGTATTTAAATTAGAAATATATTAAAATTATTTAAGAAATAAATGAATACTAGGTCTATTTCAATCGAGAGATGAGTAACGGTACCCAAACTTCAGATAAGGAGAGGATGTCACCGATATGTCGACTTCGAGTAGAAGGAATATTCATGATGGGGCTGATTAAAAACAAATACACCATGACTTATAGCACGGAAAAGTGGTTCCCCGCAACCAATAACACAGTGACACATTTTTCAACTTTAAAATCTTGAACCAATCGAGACCCCCAAAATCTTGAAGCTTGTGATGGTGAAATAAAATCCCTAGCTGGGTTTTGTGTGATTTTTTTAAATTAATTTTTAAAAATTCAGAACTGGGGCGGATTTTAGCACAATTTTCGAATAATACGTACTTATTATTGAGTCTATATCTCGTGAACTATTCGAAATATTGCTTTTCTCTCTTAAGCAATATTTTCCTCTTAATTAGATCTAAAAATTTTCTCTTGAGATAAAATCAATAAAACAACAACATCATACTGAAAATAGCACAACTGCAAAAAAATTAAAATTTAGACATACTTTTTCCATGTTTTTCACACTTATTTCAGAAACTGCTACTGACTCGGACAAACAATATATGACAAGAAGATAGCCAATAGCAAATCAAACAACTCTTCTTAAAACCCCGATTTCATTGGTTGACTCCTTCACATAGTTATAGCCTCACAAATTCATCAAAATGAACCAAAGAAATTCACTCCCAATTGTATGTTTATAGAAATAAAAATTGCTATGCTTTTTTCAATAAATAGGTACAAAATTGAAGTAAAAATTAAACATGGAACAAGTAAGTTGAAATTTTAATTTTCTTGCAGTTGTGCAATTTTCAGTATGATGGGGTTGTTTTATAGATTTTATCTCAAAAAAAAAAATTTAGATCTAATTAAGAGGAAAAATATTGCTTAAGAGCGAAAAGCAATATTTCGAATAGTTTACGAGATATAGATATAGTATTATTCGAAAATTGTGCTAAAATCCACCCCCAGTCGAATATAAAAATATAAAAAAAATTACCTAATAATGCAAAACCCAGCTATATCCACCATCACAAGCTTCAAGATTTTGGGGGTCTCGATTGTTTCAAGATTTTAGTGCTGGACAGTGTAATAATTCATTTCTTTATCCTGATCCTTCGATATTCAGGAGACGAAATGGATCAAGCCTTTTGCGTGTGTGTAATAAGTCTTAAAAAGCCAGAACTTAGGGAATATTTATTTAAATTTTGAAATACAATTTTTTAAAGAAATTCACACCTTTTAAGAATTCGACGCTCCATATAACTACAAAAAACCAGTAAGGAAAGTAGGAAAGTCGGACTGGGCCGACTATATGATACCCTTCACCACTTTGGGTATATTGTACATATGTATCCTTACATTTGCATGCCAATGTACCCTCGAAGGAACAAACTCATGTCTTTCTGCAACCTATGGCAAATTTAATTTCATTCAGGCAGTTTTAGAGTCGTCTGCGTACCATGGAAAAAATTTATGAACAACGATTTATAGCTACACGCTATTCGGTACGCCGCACTGTTAAAAATTTAATTTCAATCAGACACCCGTTCGAAATACATATGGAGACTTATTTCAGTACTCTTTGCCAAATTTCGTGCGAATCTTAGAGTATATAGGGACTTTGGTGCATTATATACCTAAAATCGGACGAAAATATATATGGCAGCTATATCTAAATCTGAACCGATTTTCACAAAACTTACCACGCATCATTCCAGACTTAATACAGTACGCTGTGCCAAATTTCGTGCAAATCGAAAGTATTATAGAGACTTTTGTGCACAATTTACATTAAATCGGACGAAAATATATATGGGAGCTGTATCTAAATATGAACCGATTTTCCCAATTTCAATAGGGTTCGTCCTTTGGCAAAATAAATGAGCTGTGCCAAATTTCATCCAATAAATGCGACCTGTACTTTGTCTACAATTTAACATGGACAGACGGACCGGACGGACATGCATAAATCGACTTAAAAAGTGATTCGATGCATATTCTCAAAAGGAACCATGGGTATATCTCGATTCATTTTGTCTGTTACAAACATATGCACAGAGTGGTGAAGGGTATAAAAATACCTCTTTAAAACTCCACGATGCTCAAGAATTTTAATTTTTGTAAATTCCTTTGAACAAAATATTTGTCTTAAATATAATAAAACTATTATTTAAAAAATCGATGTTTATTAAGTGTTCAGAAAAAAATATTCTTTAAAAAAACGAAAAATTTTTAAATATCTATGGACTTTAAAAAGACAGAAAATATTCTTAAAAAAAATCCACGCCTAATTAGCCTTCCGAAAAAATATTCTTAAAAAAATCCACGACTATTTAGTCTTTATAAAAAAATATTTTTTACAAAATCCACCCAGAAAATAAAAAAAATATTCTTTAAAAAATTCTGCTTATTGCAGCCTTTACTCGCGGTATAATTGTGTACAAATTATCATTTGCCCTACGAAATATTATTTGAAAATATTTATTAAGTGTATTGTATATTTGTTTACGTGTGTAGCACTGTGTAATTTAATGTAAACTATTTCTCATAAAATAGATAATAATTGAAAAAAAAACAACATTTAATAATATATTTTATAGATTTACTTTCACAACACCCACAATCTTAGGTAAATTACTAATAATATCGTAAACCCCTACCGGAACTTCGTATGCTATTGAGATAATTTACGTAACATTTTATGTAAAATTTGTTATTGTTTACATTTTCTATTTTTGTATTGTTCTATGTAGGTTGTAGCTGGTGTAAATGTAGGTTGTTGATTCAGTTCAAGAGACAAAGAACTATTCATATATATTGTTCAGGCGATGGCTTATATTATATAATGTAAATAATTATTTACGTTGCAGATAGATAAAAAAGGCGCCAGCATATTTGTCGATATTATTTAATGATTTGAACAAAAATTTAAAATAAAAAATACATTTGTATACCTCACTGTCTGTTTTTATATATAGAACCTAAGTCTACCCAATTGGCATTTGAATAGATGTAAATATGTTTTTATATTTAATTTCATGTTAATGATTCTCCTAAGATCCTCCGTATGGCCGAACGACATGATGAGCTTGGTTGAAATCTTTGGAATATCTCTTAAATATATTCAAAGTGACCAATAGTATCATATAGTCGCTACTGTCAGACTTTTTTCTTTTCCTTACAGTTTTTTTGGTGATTCCTCCATCACGTAATTATTTTTTGAATTACCGTATATTTAAAACTTCAATTTGAAATACTATTAAGGAAGTTCTATATTCAAACAATTGAAAGCTTCACAAATGCTATTATATAAATAATATTGATTTTAATTGAATTTCAACAGCCAATATAAATAATAAACATTTTAAAAATCCACATGTGCCATAGCTATACAAACACAAAAGTATAACCACTTCTCTATAAATGACCTTGATCTTGAATTGTATCAATGAATCGTTTTTTTAATACAAATCACATACACCCATTCATTAATTTATCCATATTCGGATGTCATTCATTGTTCGTGAACAAAAAAATATATATTTTATTATTGCATCAGTGTTCTTCTCATTTGAACTTGTTGTCCCCGTAACATCAACCCACATACGAAAGATTTCGAATGTATCTTGTTATTCCACTAGTATTTCACAAGAACCAGAACAACATCTACAACTGTCATCACAAACAAAAACAAGTTAAACGTTTAAGGAAATGCATTGTATAACATTGTATAACGTAGGCAATTGTCGAACGGTCATTCTTCTTCATTTTTTGTTGTTGTCACCAGTTCACCTTCATTAATGCAACATTTAACCTTTCATTGTGTGTGGATGTTTTTGTAATGCAATTTAAATTTATTTTACAAAAGACTTAAGACACAAACACTAGGACCTTGCGTATGTGTCTTAAGTCTTTTGGTGACTACTGTTTTATCAGGGAACTATTAAATAACACTGTGCGACAAGATTTTGGGGTTAGAAAATTTCTATTGGTTACGAAAAACCTTGGGGGTGTATGAAAACTTCAGAAAATATTGGCTATAGGTTAAAGTTCGGAGATATGGCGTGATCATTTGTTTACATAAAGAAATTGCTTCGTATCTTAATTGGAAGCTATTGTGTGGATTTTTTGAGGTTCGAATTTCGTATCTTAATTGGAAGCTATTGTGTGGATTTTTTGAGGTTGAATTTCGGAATGCAATTACCAATATCACAAAACTACAAAAATGTTGCTCATAAAATTTTCGGTAAGGTTCCCAAAAAAAGGTAGCATATGAGAAAATATTATCCTCAACTTTAGTGACGTATGTTTTAATATATTAAGTATGAAAAACTGTCGAATTCATCTCAATTATTTTCTAAAAAAATACTCGTATGTAGTTAACGCAAATACGAAAAAAACCGTAAGGAATGTAGTAAAGTCGGACGAGGCCGACTATATGATAACCTTTACCACTTTGGCTATATTCAAGAGATGCATCCTAACAGACCTCGCATTTTTGAAGGGCCATTGATATGAAATTTAACTAAATTAAAAATGTGATCTGTGTATGTAAAACGACCTAACCCTACGATCAATAGCCGGGTACATCTGTTACTTTTTATATTCTCCACCATATTATGAAGGGTGTATTAAGCTTGTTTTTTTCGAAATAATCATTTCCGACCCTATAAAGAATATAATTTTGATCAGCGTAAAATTCTATGACGATCTATGCACATCTGCCTGCATGTTGTAATCACTTTAGCCTCTAAACGAATTGAGATATATCGCCTAAATTTTATATAGAGTTGTATTTTGTCTGCAGACAGGTCAAGTTCGAAGATGAGCTATATCGGTATACGTTTAGGCATAGCTCCCATATAAGCGTACTCCCAATTGTCGGTATTTTGGGGTATTTCTTGAGCCCGCTATTCCAGTTGAAATACGCTGAAATTTGGTACAATGGGTTCTGATTGAGTACAAAATGTCTCCACTAAATATTATAAGTTTCCGTCAAATTTCTCTGGTAGCCCCGATATAATGGTGCACTAAATTTGTTAAAAATTGGACGAAAATATATAAGGGAGTTATATATAAATCTGAACTGATTTCAATAAAGCCACACGTTAGGCAATCCTAACTTCTGTACGTTGTGCAAAATTATTTGCAAATCTGCCTAAATTTTACTCCTGGTGCACCACTTACTAAAAATCGGATGACAATATATGAGAGCTATATCTAAACCTGAACCGATTTCAATAAAAGTTGGTACTTGTTAGGGTATCCTAACTTCAGTACGTTATGCAAAATTTCGTGCCAATCTGCCTAAATTTGACTCCTTGGTGCACTACTTACTAAAAATCGGACGAAAATATATATGAAAGCTATATCTAAATCTGAATCTATTTTTACCAAATGGGGTTCGTCCTTGGGACATATAAATGATCTGTGCCAAATTTTATCTCATTCGGATAATAAATGTGACTTGCACATTGTTTACAATTTAACATGGAAAGACAGTCTATCTCGTTTCCTTTTACATATGCACAAAGCATAATACCCTGTATCACAGTGTGGTAAATGGTATACAACAACTCGACTAAGACAGAACCGATTTTCTAAATTTTTGAAACGGATATTAAGAAAAAACACGGTTTTAAAGTCGAAACCTATTTCCTTTTTTTAACATAGCGAAATCGCTTTAATTAAAAAAAGCGAATCTAAAAAATGTCAAACGACCGCCATTTTGTTAATTTTTGGGCGAAGTCAATAATCCTAGTTCATACTAGAGCCAGGCATGCACCTTTACTAACACCCTTGGGTTTTTTTTGAAATCGTTTCAAATGTTGATATAGCTCTCATGTATATTTTCCGTTAGACGTTAGATTGAGACGAAATTGAGCTCCAAACTAAAATGACGTTGTTGAAATCGGTTCAGATTTTGATATATATCTCCAATATATACATTTTCCAGCGATTCGGTATTTCGGAATCTTGAAAGATGAAAACCATTTTTGCAGAAAATAGTCAATATATATCGATGTTTTGACTCCGCCGCATTTTCGGCATTTTAGAAGGTATGGTGGAATTCTTTTAGAGCAAAATCCTAAATTAAAGCGATTTCGCTCTGTTCCCGGTTTCTTGGAGTTTCACCCTCCTCAACAGTCAAAATCTTTTATAACGACATATCGACATATGTTTTGACATAGCCCCATAATATTTTTCCCGAACCATTTTTGGTATTTGGATTCCTAAACGAGTTTTCATACCAATATTCAATATAGGACTCTGACCGCTTTTTTCTAAACCTAAAACATTTTCATAAGTTCATATTTTAATCTTGTCATCATTAAAAGGTTCCGACCTATTTTAGGTGTTTTTATGGTCCTGGTCGCATTTTTTAACCAATGTGGTTGCAATTTGCCAATCCATGTTCTTAGTAAAAAAACTTATTGATAGAACTTTTTAATATAAGTCTTTTGTATTTTCATGATACTATACATCGAAGTGACTGTTTTGACAATCTGGGTTTTAAAGGATAAACAATTTATCATAGAAAATAATTAATATAAGTCCCATATAAAGGTTCCGCTCATTTTAGTCATTTTCAAACTAAAACCTCGTTTTCCGATGTGGTACTAATTTATAACTTGGTGCTTAAATACTTAGTGGCAGAACCTTCTTTTTATATAAGTCCCACTCTAGTATTGGCATCTTGAAGGTCCTAAACGAATTTTCCACCATACCAGTCTGTAATGTGGTATTTTGTTTGTTCATTTCTCAGTAGTTGTCGACCGATATAATGTATTTTATGTGTATATGTATTTTATATGTATAGCTTTAAAGAATATTGAAAAACTTACCAGGATCAGATTGACGACAGGAAACAAATGGATCACCATTGAAGCCTGGTGGGCAACTGCATACGGCAACGTGATTTCTGGGCTAGAAATATAGAACAGAATAAGAATGAAATAAGATCACATAAGTTAATAATAGAAATACTCTTAAAGCTGTTCTGTAGCACATTCAGTTGGCGGGATACTTTTTTTAAAGCGGGAGACACATACGAAGTTTCAGGTCTGGCCTGTTAAAATGACATTGTATAGAATGTCAATTTATATCAGAGTCAAACTTGATTTTGGGCGCCGTTTTCTTTTATTATTTTACAATACAGGAAGCCAACTTAACAAGCCAAGCCTGAAGTCATCTCATGTGTTCTCTGATCGAAAATTTATTTAAAGTTTTATTTATTTCTCACTTACCTCACAATTGGCATTCGATCCGCATGCACCAACACAAGGATTAACACAACGACCATTTTGACACTGTAAATCACTGCGGCAATCGATGTTGTCCAAACATTCGCCACGATTGCAATGAGTCAATGGGTTGCCACTATAGCCGGGTGGGCAGGAGCAAACAGGACGGCCGCCTGCTGTCTCCTGACAGATGGCATTGACACCACAGGGATTGCCATGACAGCCATTAACGCGTAAATCAGCTATATTGGATAAAATGAAATTTTGCCAGAGGGAATGGAGGGGGGAGAAAAAATGTGCAAAAGGTGTTTAGGTTATTATTTGGTTAAGCACACACAAACTAAATAACATAAAAACAATTACAATAAGTTTAGAATAGTTTAAGTTGGAAACACAGAGATAATAGTGGTGGATAGTGGAGAAAGGTTTAAGATACTATTATGGGAAGTTTATAGCTACAATTATTTACACATACAGAGAGATGTACACAGAACATTGAGAGTTCTTTCCTAAAATTCTTAAAGTGCAAATGTGATTTCTGTCAGTCTTCTAAAAATAATATATACATAAATACATATTTTAGTTATAGTTTGAAAAACAGAAAAAAATCATTGAAAAAGTGCTCTAGAAGTGCAAAAGTGAAATTTTGAAAGTAGGCCAAAAATTGCGTATTTTGTTCTTTAAATACCACGTGAATGTGTATGATAAATTGGATCCCGGTAAACTAATCTCTCCACTGTCGTTCCATCGGCATATGTATAATACGTACGTCCATCGTAGGAGCATGTGCTGCATGTTGCACGTTTAGTTAACTTTTTATCTTCGACCGCGGTCGAATTACTAGTTTGTAATTGTTTATCCTCAGCATGGATACAGGCCAAGATGGCGAGTAATAGTACGGCTTTGAACGCCCTGGACATCTGAAAACAAGAATAATACTTAAATTAGTATATTTAAAAAATAAGACAAATTAGGGGGCCTTGAAAATATTCGAAATATAACAAAACCGAAAAAACACTCTATGATCGAATCCAATGTTATGTTGATTTAGCCATGAAACATCTTGGAAATTTTAACACAAACATCGTTACTACTCCCAGAATAGTTGACATTGGAATGGGTTTGGAATCGGTTCACGATTCCATTAACATTCCGGGTTCCTTGAGGGTTAATATATCATCCCATATAATATCCCATTGAAGATCCCAGGCACATTTTCTAATCAAAGTAGTTGTCACTCGACATTCCCGATTCATTGAAGTTGAAAACCCTTTGCAGAAATAGTTACTTATTTTGAAATAGGCCTTTATGCAGATTATGAAGATGTAGACCTTTATGAAGATCCAGTCCTCCGGGCTTTGGTGCATTTTTCAAACGACTTCCCAGGGTAAAAAACATTTTCGCTGAAAATATTGAAAACATGTCCATGTGCAGACATACATGTGCTCGTATGAAGGTCCCATCCCATTTTATGTATTTGTATTACCCTAGACGCCATTTCCCACCGAAGTGGGTGTTATTTAGCATTCCAAGTATTTGGGGGTTGGATACAATTTTTGCAGATAATTTTATGTATTTTGATGGCCCTAGGAATATTTTCCAATAGGAGTGAGTGGTATTTGACAATTCGCATGATTTTTAGTAGAAACTTTAGGGGATTTCATTTGAAATTCCACGAAGAAAATATAGGTCCTATTTACATTTTCCAACCGACGTGGATTTATTAGGATTTCAGGTTCTTGTAGGGTGATTTTTTGTGGAGTAATGTCAATATTAGTCCATGTTCATACATAGGCCTCATATATGGGTCCTAGACTTAGTTTTGAACCGAAGTAGTTGCAATTTAACATTCCAAGTTTCTTGGGGGATTCAAAAAACTTATTTACAGAAGTTTTTGATGATTGATGTTTCTATTCAAAATTTCCAAATTATGTTTCTGTTTCAGATAATAAAAAACTTCCTAATAATTTACAATAAGAGTCCCGCCCCATATATTCTATGCCCACCTGATATAGTTTTTATTTGTTTTAATATGTTATTTTCTGCCCGGATAGATCCTCGAATGTTTTTTTAAGTTTATAAATTTTTGACGGATAGTAAGACAACCATGCCAACTATAGAGGAATAAGTCTCCTTCTCATTGCATATAAAATGTTATCCAGCTATTATTATTGGACCATACCAATGCGGCTTCAGGCCTGGCAAATCCATCATTGACCAAATTTCCAGTCTGCGCCAGATCCTGGAAAAATGTCCCACGAAAACACACATCGACACATTCCAACTATTCGCCGCATTCGATAGCTCTATCCCTTCAGGGGTGCTTAAAGCAATGTCAGCGTAGGATAACTTTAAGTGGCACAAGGTCAGGAGTAAAATTCGGAAAGGACCTCTCAGAGCCCTTCAGGTCGTGTGACCTGTTTAACATCCTGCTGGAAAAGGTCATGCAAGACGCAAAGGTGAACAGAAATGGTAATCTGTACACCAAACAGCAAATGTTACTCGCCTATGCCGATTATATCGACATAATGGGTCGAACATTGCGAGCGGTAACTTCCACCTTTGAACGAACTGAGGAGTCTTGGAGAATTGCAAGAAATCAGACGAATATATATAGGAGGTATATCTAAATCTGAACCAATTCAACTTCATACACATTATTATTAAAATAAGATATGCTGTGTAAAATTGTGTCTCTCATGTGAAATTTGAACTCTAACGTTGTCGACAGACACCCGAAAGTACATACACAAATGATTCTATTTAAGAAACTATAGAAGTTACGCCAAAATTATTAAAAAAAATCAATGCTTATAATTTTCATAGACCCACAATTATTAATTCTCCAAAAATATTTAAAACCTAAAATATTTAAAATATTGTAGCTCCTATAATAAAGTTTAGAACATGCCAGAAACCCTTAACTAGCAAAAGTGGGTTAATACTCTACTTATGCAGATACAAATCCACTTTTTATTAAATTAATAATGTATAAATCAGTGAATTAATTATTCATGAACATCATGATTCAAACATTTGCTCATTAATCGATTTAGAATATATCTATCTCCGATAATTACTATGGTCATTTTCATTAATTATTACTTCAGTTTTCATATTATTCATTTACGCCCACTCTGTGATATATTTTTTTTGTGTTCATTATTTAACTAATGCTTCTAATGAATTCACACCTTATTTTTTCGAACCGGAACAAAGTAAGATCTTATGATGACGATTTGTTGTTTTTGACTTAATTTGCATATTTATTTATTTTTTGCTCGAATTTCATACGATTAAGTCACTCATTTACTTGGTAAGTTTCGGAAATATTAATTCAAAAATATTTTTGTGTGTTTTTAATTTAATGTTTTTTTTGATTCACTTTTGTTGATTTAAGTTAAACATTGATGTAATCGATATGGAAACAGAGTTACTATGACAAATGAATTATATTAAATTAGAATAAATAATATGCATATTGATCCGAACAATACGAAATTTCACATAATGGAACCAATATTTTATGACGGATATGTTTATTCTGGTAAGTTCCAACTCAAAATATGAACAAGATTACAAGAGGAAAAAATATTTTTGTGTGTTTTTAATTTAACTTCCTTGAAAGCGGCGAAGAGGGCTGATATACGGAGAAGACAGAGCCAACCTGAAGTTAAAGGAAACTGTCATTAGAATCCATCGATTGAGGGCGGTGAAGCTGGATCTTTTGTAAAACCCATTCTAAGGTTAAACATTGCAAAAATGTAATCGATAATGGTTGCCGGGAGGCGCTAAACAATACAGTAATACCAGAATAGTGCGTGCGGGAAAATGACAAATGAATTATATTAAATTAGAATAAACGTAAACCTTCAAAATACAGAAAATTTATGGGTACCGTTACAATACCAAAAAAGTGAGCCGATACGAGTAGTGGTAGTATATATGCAAAATTATATAGCGATCTGTAGTATATGCCTTTTAAATATAGCGATCTGTATCATTTTATCAACAGACCGAGGATAATGGATAGATCGACAAGTCATTGTACTCTGACCAATATTATATACACTTGTCCGACATGGGGAGAAATTTGTCATCTCTGCTGTGGCTACCTTTTTGATAATCGGTAAGTTCATATCAGGCAATATGCGGGGTTTATTGATGCCCTTGCCGGGGATGGGGTAGCTCTGTTTTGGAAGCTAAATACAATAGAAGCATTTCCATTTAACTTGGAAGAGGAAAGTCGAGGTCTGTATGCGTCACTTCTCACTTCAGGCGCATCAAGAAGCAATGCTCAGGCTGCTTTGAATGCGATCATAAATATCCTACCATTTTATTCATTAGTTCTGTTTCAGGCAATGAAGCTCAAGGAAATGGAAAAAAAGGAAATTATCTCTCTTGCTTCTTACAGTGGGACACAATTATGTAAATCAATTTAAAGCAAATACAAATCGGACACCCGTTGATAATTTGATTAAATATCTAATAAACATGAGGAAATCTGAACCGATTTCATCGAAACTTGTCACAGGTTAGGTGATTTCAACGAGACTTGCCAGAGATTAATTTATATTAACAACAGTTCATTGTACAAAATTGTGTGGCAATCGGTCAGGTCATATCGATATCAATAGGGAAGGAAATACCTGACACAAATTCCCGTTAATACTACATTTAAACCTTTTTTAAGCATTAACCATCGTTAGATACAAGACTGACAGCCTGACCTTATCTGGCACACATCCCATCATCATTTACAGTTTTGTCAAAAATATTAGTTCCGTTCCAGAAACTAAAAGAATCTAATATTGATTTTAAAGTATTGCCATTTAATTTTGGCATATTTACTAGATTTGTGTTCACGAACTTTTCAAATTACTTTGTACTCTATGAGCGATTTTGAAAATTTTCCATTTTAATAGCTTTACTATTAAAAAGTACTGGAACAGACCAATTGTTATGTTTGATTTATCAAATCTAATATCAATCCTCTATCAATATTTTTGTCATCCTCGAAATATTCACCGGGGACCCCATAAAGTATATATTCTTGATAAGAATAAAATTCTATGTCGACTTATGCACGTCAGTGTGCCTGTCTGGCCGTCCGTCTGTTGAAATCACGTTAGAGATCGCAATATTTAAGATAGCTCTGAAATTTTGTACAAACATTAAGATAGCTCTGAAATTTTTTACTCCTAGGATGTTTGGTATTACAAATGGTATTTATAGGTCCACGTTTTGGTGTAGCCCCCATCAAGAACTCCAAAAAGAAATTTTATACATGTTTTATACATAGGTAACCTTTGAAGTTTCTTCTAAAATGTTTAAAATAAAATCTTAAAACCCAGTACATCATAACGAAGAGTCCTTTAGTTAAATTTAAATTTTTTAAAACCTCGTTTTTTGCATATTTTCAATAACACCATTGTCAACTTAGTTAACATTTCCGACATTGTAATTTCCGCAAAAATTATTTGTAATTTATTTTATTTTTTCCAAAATTAGAAAACATTCAAGTCATGTTCATTGAAGATGTTCAACTTTGTCACAACTGCAATTTTATATTTTTTTCAATTACTCACTAAACAAATAAAATAAAATTTATTTGTGTTTAACAAATATAGAACTTTAACCAGAATAGTCGCACATTTTGTTGTTTTGTGTGCGTGTGTGTAACTTCATTTAAATGTTCTGTTTGGGTTTCAAATTTATTTTCTGCTCACGAACTATTCACTGTACGTATTAAATGACAAGTACAATGTCCATTCCGATTAATTTTTTATTAGATTAACACTTTACTTAATGGGACAATTATGCGTTTTTTACTAACACTGGCTAGGCCAGGGCAGCCCCTCTTGCATTTGCATTGAGTCATTCCGACAAACTTACCATTTCGTTTGGATTTTTTTTCTAC